TTTCTATCATTCTTTCCTTCCTTTTTTCTTTCCTTTTTCTTTCTTTTATTCTTTCCTTCCTTTTTTCTTTTTCACTTTCCTTCCTTTTTTCTTTTTTCTTTCATTCTTTCCTTCCCTTTTCTTTCATTCTTTCCTTCCTTCCTTTCTTTCTTTTTCTATCATTCTTTCCTTCCTTCTTTCTTTTTCTTTTATTCTTTCCTTCCTTCCTTCCTTTCCTTCTTTCTTTCTTTCATTCTTTCCTTTCTTTTTCTACCATTCTTTCCTTCCTTTTTGCTTTCCTTTTTCTTTCTTTTTCTTTTATTCTTTCCTTCCTTTTTTCTTTCTTTCCTTTCCTTTTTCCTTTTCTTTCCCTTCTTCCTAGCTTCCATTTTTTATTACTTCCTCCCTCGCACTTTCTCTCCTTCCTTCCTTCCCTCCCTTCACCTTCCTCTCCTCTCCTCCTTCCCTGCCTTTCTCCTCGCCTTGGTTCCTTCTTCGTCTCTCCTTCCTTCCTTCCTTCCTTCCTTCCTTCCTTCCTTCCTTCCTTCCTTTTCCTTCTTCCTCAGAGCCGGCTGGGGAGTCCTGGGCGTTGGGGTCCACCAGGCGCCCAAGCTCCAGACGCACTGACTTAGAAGGGGGTGGAAGGAAGGAAGCCACCCTGGGGGTGGGGGGTGGGGGAGAAAGCCCCCCCTCCCTCCAGGAAACGACGGAGGGGACCCCCAGCCAGCCGTTCCGGGGCCAGGCACATCTGGAGGGAGGGCCGTGTGGGGCCAAACGGGGGAGCAGGAGAGACCTGGCTGGTGGGGAAGGCAGGCAGGGCGGGGGGGGGGGGCCCCAGGGGGGCAGGGAAGGCCAGGACCCCTCCCCAGCCCTCCCTGGGACCAGGCCCAGCCCAGGCCGCCCCTTGGAGGCTTTTACCCCGATGGTGGAGGCCATGTAGTCCGCACACATTTCCGCAAAGTCCCGCTCCAGGACCCCGTAGTAGAGGCCGTAGAACAGGAGGGAGATCCCGAAATCCATGCCGTCTTCCGGTTGGATTCTGCCATGAAGGGGGGGGGGGAGACTTTAGAGAACTCCGTGGGGGCCACGAAAGGGACCCCAACCCAGGCAGGGAGGCAGCCGGTCAGACCTCGACGCCTGAGCCGGGAGGGCAGCTTCCAAGCCGGGGTTAGACGAGGCTTCGAACCCAGGGCTTCTAAGGAGCCGTGCCTGGTGCTCGGGCTAGTCGGCCACAAGGACCTCAGGACTGGCCTGAGCTGCCCTTGGGGGCTCAGGGGTCCTCTAGACGGGCCCCAATTGTTCATGGTGCAAATGATAACTATTACCTTAGCACTTGCACTGATGAGGTTACCTAGTTTGAGTAACAAAATGTATGTGGGAAAACAACCCAGCCCAGAGAGCACCAAGGACCCCACCGTCCTCCCCCTCCCCCTCTCCCTTCTAGCACTGATGAGGTTCCCTAGTTTGGTAATGAAACGTCTGCGAGGAAACAGGCTCAGAGAGCACCGGGGACCTCACAGTCCTCCTTCTCCCCCTGCCTCACCAATTTGAACTACAGGTGTTTGTATGTGTATGTGTGTGTGTGAGAGAGAGAGAGAGACAGACAGAGACAGAGAGACAGAGACAGAAAGAGACACACAGAGAAAGAGAGAGACAGACACACACAGACAGACAAAGAGACAGAGAGAGACAGAGAGAGACACAGAAACACACAGAGAAAGAGACAGAGAGAAACACAGAGAAAGAGACAGAGACATACAGAAACAGAGAAAGAGACAGAGACAGACATACAGAAACACACAGAGAGAGACAGAGACACACAGAGAAAGAGAGAGACAGAGAGACAGA